GAAGCGCTTGGCAGAACTATAATAATAATAATCCTTGCATTTAATACCATGCCTTATATCTTTGAGACGTCTCAAAGAATATACTGTAAAGTGAATTGACAGTATATTTTGTGGGAGAAACACAGCAACGAATTGCACACAGCAATATCCCATAAACAGTTGTGGATTGAGTGATCATATTTTTTTTAAGGGATTATTACCCATGGAAAACTGATCCACCAATCGACTAACAACCAGGTTCCTACTTACTGCTAAGTAAACAGAGACATGTGGAGCAAGGAAACTTGCCTAAGGTTTCGCCCTGCCCAGGAATCGAACCCGGGTCCTCCTGCTAGCGAGGCGAGTGCGCTAGCCACTACACTACAGAACTGTAACAAATTGGTTCTCTTTAGAGATTTATTGTAGCACTCATCTACTTGTCATTGAGATTCTTGTGAAATTCAAATGGCAATGATGTCAATTTGATTTAAGTGCTCTGGGACACTACCCTGCGTGAGGGTCGCTATATAAATGCAAGTTGTTATTGTTGTAGTCCCCGTTCTCTGGAATTCCCTCCCCAAATCCCTCTGTCTCGTCACCTCTTTCTTAGTTTTTAAACATCCTCTTTTGATGGTCACCGTTCTTCTTTAATGCCACCCAAAGAGCTGACACAGGCACGATGGGCCGAATGGCCTTTTTCTGTACTGTAAGATTCTATAATTTTTATCTCATGTGTTGTGGGGGTGGGGGGGAGAGAATACAGTAAAGGCTTTATATTGAGACTCAACTTTGATAAACTGACACAATGCAAATGAGTCTGTGGGTTTGAAAAGAAAAGGTTTGACTGGATTCTGTTTTTTTCACAGGATGTTTGATCTGAACACGTCAGCTGGCAATACTCATGCCTCTGAGTCAGAAGCATCTGTGCTTAAACCCCACATCAGGACTTTGAACTCACATAATTAAGGCTGACTCTACAAGGCTGACTTGACTGCAAGGTTGACTCTCTGTAACTTCATCACACCAGTTCTGGCCAGGCTCCACTGGCTTCCCATCACCAAACATGCAATGAATATTTATTTTCCGTTCAATCAAGTGTAGCAATGTCTGATACCAGTAATATTTTTTTTAAAAAATTTGTCACTCATTCCACGACTGTTTGTGGGACACTGCTGTGCGCAATTGGCTGCCGCGTTATAGTCAATTCACTTAACCATATATTCTGTGAAGCGGGTTGAGACGTATCAAAGACGTGATAAGGCGCTATATCAAATGCAAGGATTATTGTTTTATTATTAACTACACCGTCGAGTGCCTGGGATCATGAACATCCGAGGACCAGAAAGACAATGGAAAATGTGTGTAGTGATTTTAAGTAGTTTCCTAAAAGTGACTCCCACCCACCCCCCGCCAAATTGTTGAACGCTTGTACTGAATACATTTAAGTACTTCTAAACTTTCACGCAAAGGGTAGTGGGAATCCAGAACTCTCTCCCCAAAAAGGCTGTGGGTGCTGAATCCATTCAAATTTTCAAGACTGAGGTTGATAGGATCAAGCAGGAGGCCAGAGCCAGTTGAGCGGAGGCAGCTGGTAATGCAGCGGGGAGAAACAAGGTCAAAAAAAGTTGGTGGGTGCCAAGGCGGGAAGGGATTTAGACGAGTGAGAGGATCTTGAAATCGAGACCGCTACAGAGCTTAAGCCCAGACTCCTGGCCGGTCAAAACAGATACTGGGTATTTAAAAACACTCCTGGAGAAATCTTTAGGTGCACTGACAAGCAGTAATAATAATAATAATCTCTGCATTTGATATAGTGCCTTATAATGTCTTCAAGATGTCTCAAAGTGCTTCACAGAATACACTATAAAGTGAATTGACTGTGTATTTTGTGGGCGAAATTCAGCAGCTATAACTGCACAAGGATCAACACGGTTTAGAAGATGTCACACTATGTCATTTCACAGCTTTTTTTCAAACAGACACTCAGACTCAGAGGCTAGTCTAACGGCTCCTTTGGTGTGTTTAAATCGCCTTGTGGTGAAGGACATCCCATGTTAAGGCAGATCACTCACTCACTTGGGTTAACCAATGCACCCTCTCTGAACCTCACCATTTGGTTCAGAGCAGGGACAGATCAGGGTTACATCACCCACAACCTCTCACTCACTCACTCACTCAATCGTATGATGTGGCGACTTTGAGTATCTGATAACAATTATAAATGTGAAAAAACACCATGAGAAAAAAACAATAACTTAACAACAATCTAATAAGAAGGCAAACCGTTTAGCTACACACACACACACACAGACCTGAGTCTAAGAAATTGCATCGCTTAAAAGTTATTCAATACAATAACTTTTAAGATAATAATAATCCTTGCATTTGATACATTGTATTGAATAACTTTTATATATGTGTATATATATATATAGATGTTTATGAATATATATGGACACGTATATACTGTATGTATGTATATATAGACACCCATATTTATGGAAACATATATAGACTCATA